GTGGGTCTCACCTGAACCAGCTCCCAGCTCCCCCGCCGTCCCCGTGTCGTCCAGCCCTTCCTTCTAGCACTGGTGGGCGGAGTTGCCACCTCACACCCGAGGCCAAGATGGGCTCTCTTCGGGTGGGGGAGTTTTAGGGTCCGGCAGGCGGTGGTGCCCAGGGACGACTCCTGACCCTGGCAGTGCTGGGGTCTTGAGCTGGGGCCACCGGACACGAGGCAAGCACTGTGCCCCCCCGGGAGGCGTGTCCTCGCCCTGCGAGCTGCCTCCCGGCCCCTCTGGTCACTCCTGTCTTCTCTAAGTTTCTGGGTCCCGCTGGCGATGCTCAGAGCGGACTCCTGGGGTTCGCTCCTGGCGTGCCTTGGGGCGCCTCTTGGGCGTGCAAGGCCAGCGCCCGCCCTTGTCGCCTTCCACGTCGCCCGCGTGTTCGTGTGGCTGTTTATTTTCTCCTTCTGGCAGGGTGTCTCTGCCTCGGTCCTCGGGGTGCCGTGAGTGGCGTCCTGCGGGGGCCGTCGAGGGCACTGCTGGGTGGGGAGCCGCTCCCCTCCCCCGGTGCCATGCCAGACAACCCACACTGCCGTGGCTCCGTGTGCCAGGGCCCAGGCCCGTCCCTCTGCCGGGGACCTGCGTCCTCTCCCACCTCTTCTCGCTTTTCCTTGCCGTGGCTTCTCTTCCCCCTCTGGCAATATTTCCCACGTGCTGCGGCAGAGAAGGTCTGAAAGGCTGTGGCCAACCCTGTCTCTGCCCTTCACAGCACCCCAAGACCTGGAACCTGCCCACTGATGATTCCCCCCAAAGGCCTGTGGCCTGGAGCCCCAGGGTCAGTCTCTGGGCCCGTGTGGACTCATCCGTGTCCCTCCCCTGGCTGCAGGGCAGCTGGAAAGCGCTGGGGCTCCCGCCTGGTGGAGCCACCCGGGGTGTGTGGGGCGGATGGGTGGCCCCGAGGAGCCTGCTCGGAGCCCCGTGCCGCTTCCCAGTCCGGAACTGGGTGTGTGGGTGTCCGCTCTCTGGGTGGCCAGGGCGCAGGCCAGTAGCTGGCCTCGTCCAGGGGGCCCTGGGTCCACGTGGCCACCCCCTTCGCACGCTTGCTGAGCCGTCGTCCTGGGTGACGTGTTGGTTTTGGTCTCCCCTCGCGGTGCTGTGGGGGGGGGGCCTGGGAGCCCCTTCTGGTGACTCTCGGGCAGCCGGGCCTGGGTCCTCCAGGATATCTGCAGTGCCCAACAGGGCTCGGGACGGCCCTGCTGGGGGTGGAACTCGGGGGCTGCACGCCAGGGCGGCCGCTGTCACCCCGACTCTGCCCGGCCAGGTGGGGGAAGGGAGGGGGTCGCTGGCTTGTGCGTCCCTGACCTGGGGCCTGCCTTGCCGCCCTCCTGGCTCCCCTGCCCCCTCTGGGGTTTGACCGTCGTGGGGATCGCCGTGGGCTGTGGCAGGTGTGGACGGGACGTGAGCTGCTGTGGGCTTCCAGCCCCAGCTGTGCCTGTTAATCAGAAACATTCACTTCCGGTCTGGGGCCACGTCTGGTGGGATCAGGCGAGTGCCTTGACCCCTGCCCTCCCCTGGTCCTGCACCCTCCCTGTTTTGTCTGCTGTCCCCTGGGCTCCTCTCTGTCCCCACCCCACGACCCATGCCTTGTGCTTTCCTCGTGTGTCTGTGTTTTGGGTCACACCCTGCGATGCCTAGGGGTTACTCCTGGCTCTGTGCTCAGGACTGGCTCTTGGTGGTGGTCAGGATGCTGGGGTAGAGCCCAGATGTCCCTCCCGGCTGTCCTAGAGCTCCGGCCCCACCAGACTTGGCCCCCGGGGGGGGGGGCATGGGGTCCATGGCCTGGGTTCGCTCACACGCTGTCCCTTGCAGGGCTCTTCGCAGTGGCTGTCCGTGAGCAAGGCTCCTGCACGGCGCCCGACGTCTGGACAGACCCGCAGCCTCTGAGTAAGTGCCCGATGCTGATTCTTGGGCGCACCCCATGCGCCCCGACACTGCAGGCTGCTCCCCCCCCAGACCACCCATGAGTGGGGTCCCTGACTGGCAGTGCCTGATGGGTGCTCCCGGTCCAGACGGCATTGGGCCCGGGTGCTGTCCCCGAGAAGGCTCCTCCTGGCGGGCTGCCGGGGGTGGGGGGGTGGCCTGCTGCCGAGCCCCGCCTGACTGGCCTGGCCCCCTCATGGCTCCCGTGCCCCTGGAGCCCCTCGGTCCGAGGCCCGCCGAGTCTGGGGTTTCATCCGCGCTCTGACGAGAGCCTGGGGCTCCTGCACGCCGAGCTGCGCCCCCCCCCCCGCTCACCCCCAGAACCCCCAGCCAGGGCTGACGGGGCCAGCCCGGTCCCAGCCCGGTCCCATGGGTCAGTGGCACAGGCCACCGTATCAGGACCAGCAGGTCGCCCGCCGTGGCCCGGCTCGTCGCTGTCCCCACTCTCGGGGGCTGCCAGGAGCGGCCGGAGTCACTGGTGGGTGGTCTTCTGGGGTCCCTCCCCGAAGCGGAGTCTTTCGGGGATGCACAGACTTTCTCCTCATCTGAAAGACAGATGGATAGACAGACAGCTGCACGGATAGACAGACAGACGGACAGATGGACTGATGGACAGACATGGACAGGCGGAGGCCTTTCTTGTGTCAGGCTTGGCGCCCTCCATAGGTCTCCATGGGGGAGGCAAGTGGATGGGGGCGTGGACGACCCCCTCTGCCAGGCAGGCCTCCGGGGGCGTCTGTGACCTACGGCTGTGCCCTCGAGTCCCCAGTGTAGAGACCAGGTGAGGTGCAGCTGGGCGCGGGCCCAGGAGGCATCCCCCGCCCGAGTGACCTCTGGCTGCTGCCGACCTTGGCGCTTGGAGCCTCCTGTCAGCCTGCCTGGACACGGCCCCTCCCCCTGGCTCCGAGTGCAGGGACCCTGCAGGCCAGGCACGACCCTGCCTGTGAAGACGGGGGTCCCAGGACCACGGTGGCGCCGGCTAGGGTCAGACTTGGCCCTGAGGCGGGCAGGGTCCCAGACAAACGGCTTTTAAAGGGAAAGAATCGCTTTATTGAGCCGCGGTTCGCGGGCCGCATAATCACCCCATTCAGACCCCTGGTTTGTAGCACACACGTGCGGGGGCCGGGGCACGAGGGCGTGGCCAGACCCCTCAGCTGCACTGGCACCCCTTTTGCCCCATTTCCACCTGGACTCTGGGCCCCAGGGTGGGGAAGTGCAGTGAGCAGTGCCGAGGATGACGAGACGGGGGACACGGGCTGCCACTGGGAACAGGCTCGAACACCTGTGGGTCACAGCCACTGTCAGGGCGGGCACGTGACATAGTGGCCTGAGATCCCCGAGGTCTCTAGGACATTCCTCCAACCGCGGCTTCCTGTTCTGGGGGTTGCGGCCTCGTCCTGGCAGCTTCCAGCTGTCACCTGCTGTCCTTGGCTCGTGGCCCCACCTCCCCTCCTCCCTCTGGGAAGGACCCTCAGGCTGTCCCGAACCCTGGCGTCCAGAGCCCTGACCTCTGCTCCCTTTGCCAGCCTCTGCTGCTCAGCTTCCCGCAGACCGGCCCGTTTCCTGCTGAGGCTGCAGCACCCGGCCTGCCCGGGGGCAGTGCTGCGTGTGTGTGTGTGTGGGGGGAGGGGTTGTGCATGGATCCCCCAGACCCTCCAGGAGTGATCCCTGAGTTGGCCAGGTGTGGCCCCCCAAAAAGCGAGAGAAAAGGGCCTGTTGTTGGCTCTGGAAAGTTCTTCCCTGGCTACTGGGTTCCCATCCCGTGGCCCCTGGCACTGCTCGTGGAGTCTGAGGAGCGCCCTTGCTGGGATGACAAACCGTGTCCAGTTTCTTCTCTGCCCACCCTGACCCTAGGTGGGTCTCGGGGGGACCGACAAGAGCTTCAGGATTCACCCACACCCCTGCACCGAGTCCTCCGTGGGCACGCGAGACGCGTGTGCACAGGCGTCTTCTCACACGTGCCACGTTCTTCTCCTGCCCCGCGGGGAGCCCTGCCCACACCCCCGCACAGCCCTTCCCGCAGCCCTGCGGGACTCCCCCCTCGCCCCTGCACACCCCTCCCCACACCACCCCTGCCTGCCCACTTTCAGCTGGGTGAGGGCCCCGGGCCCAGCTGGACCTGGGGTAAGGGATGGCACCCTGCAGCACTCACCCCACCATGTGCGTGGGGGCTGGTGCCAGTCCTCGCCCTCCCCTCCAGGGTGGGAGAGAGCAGGCAAAAGAAGCCTGGCCTGGCCCTTCTTCTGGTGGGGCCCCTGTCTTACTCCCTGTGGACCCCGGCTGGTCACGTGGGACGGGACCCTGTAGGGAGCACCGAGCTGGCTGGGGTGGCCTGGCTGCTCCCTCCAGCATCCCTGAGCCTGGCACGGGGTGCTCTCGCGGGAGCTTCTGGCTCGGCTGCAGTTCCTGGGTGCGTACTGCCCCCTGGTGCCTGCCGCCGGCAGTGCAGTGGGATCCCCCGCTCTGCTTTGTGCCAGCATCCGGGGTCGGTGGGTGCCGGGGCTCACCCCCGCCTGTGGTATCTGCGTCTCCTCCTGGGTTTTGTTCTTTATTTTCTTGTTTTTGGGCCCACACCTGCGGTGCGCAGGGCTGACTCCTGGCTCTGTGTTCAGGGGTCCCGGGAGGATGCTGGCCTTGCACGTGACCAGTCTGAGTTTGATCCCCGGCACCCTGCAGTGCACCCCCCCCCCCCCCAAATATCAGTGCACCAGAATCACACTCGGGGCCTTGCCCTCACGGGCCCGGGTGCGGCCATGCAGAGTGTCCCCACCCCCGACTGGGAGTGGGTCAGGGGGAGGCGTGAGTGGGGGCTCCAGTCTCCGAGGAGCCCGGGCGCCCCACAGCGAGTCTTGGAGAGCAGCCTCGGGACCTCACCCGGGCCCAGCGTCCATGGGGGTTCCCGCCTACCCTCTGGGCCGCCTGCAGGCAGCTCAGTGTTGTGCGGGGTGGGGTGAGATCAAGGGGTGCCCAGCTTCCCCGCAGGTCCGGCCCCCGAGCCACCACCACCCCACCCACTCACCCCTCCCCTCCCACAGGTGCCGCCATGGGGTCCGAGGATCACGGGGCGCAGAACCCCAGCTGTAAGATCATGACCTTCCGGCCCACCATGGAGGAGTTCAAAGACTTCAACAGATACGTGGCCTACATCGAGTCCCAGGGCGCCCACCGTGCCGGCCTGGCCAAGGTGGAGGAGGGGGCTGTGAGGGCAGGGGGCGGCAGAGCAGCTGGTGGGATGCCTCCGCGCCAGGGCGGCCTTGGTCCACAGGTCGGGTGGGAGGAACGTTCAGGTCATGGGGGGATGCAGGTGCCACGACGATAACTGGGGACCCTCCTCCCTCTGACCCATGGACACCCTTCCTCCAGACCCATGGACACTCCTCCCTCGGACTCCACAGACACTCCTCCCTCTGGCCCATGGGCACTCCTCCCTCTGACCCCTGGACACCCCTCCCTCGGGCTCCATAGACACTCCTCCCTTGGACCCATTGACACTCCTCCCTCGGACCCCGGGACACTCCTCCCTCTGGGCCAGGACACTGTTCTGGCCTGGCCCCAGGCCCCCGCAGCCGGCTCCTCCGCAGACAGCCCTGTGGTCTGTGGCTTTCCTTCCGAGCTCTGAGGCGGCCTGCAGGCCCTGAGCCACGTGGGTGCGACTCTGCCGACTGGGACCCTCTTTTCCTGCCGTGCTCCCTCCCGGAGACCCTGGGATGCTCCTCCAGAGCCCTCGCACGGGGCCTTCCTGCCCTCCCTGAAGTGTGCCGGGGGACACAGGCGCTCACGGGGCTCGGGGCTCGAGGCACTCGGCCTCCTCCCTGCCCCTCGTCCTCCTCCTCCCCCTCCCCCCCTCCCGCACCCCTGGGAGCAGAGGGCCCGGGTGCAGTGCTGCCGGCTGCCACCAGTGGGCGCTGCGGGGACGCAGGCGCGGTTCTGCCCCAGCGCGGCGCCCGCGGGGGCCTGGAAGCCGGGAAGCCTGCAGGGCGCGTGGGTGGCCCTGGGTGCCACCTTGGCTGTGGGACCTTGGCTCCCCGCGGAGGGACGCAGTTCCCGCTGCCCGCTGGGGGAGGGCGGGCGGTGCCGGCGGGCCGCGGTGCTGACGCCTCTGGGCTCGCCGGCAGATCATCCCCCCGAAGGAGTGGAAGCCCCGGCAGACCTACGACGACATCGACGACGTCATCATCCCCGCCCCCATCCAGCAGGTGGTGACGGGCCAGTCGGGCCTGTTCACGCAGTACAACATCCAGAAGAAGGCCATGACCGTGGGCGAGTACCGGCGCCTGGCCAACAGCGAGAAGTACGTGGCCAGGGACGCCCCCGCGCCCCGTGGGCAATGCTGAGCCGCCGCAGGGCGCGCTGTGGACCTCGCTGGGCTCCCCCACCCGGCCGCTTCCCGCGGGCACCCTCAGGCCCCCGCGCTCTGCGACGGCCGGATGTGCCTGCCCGCCCCGCCCCTCCCGCTGCAGTGGTCGCGGGCCCCGGCTCCCCTGCCCGGCCCCGTGGGTGGGCCCGCCGACCCCGGGATAGGGGTGCTGAGGCCTCTGCCCGCACCCCTGGCGGCCCCGCGAGGCCCGGGAAGGCCGGGCGGTGGGAAGTGTGGGGCTGTCCCCGGCCGGGCCCCTCCCTGTCCGCCCACGTGGCGTCTGAGCACAGGCCGGCCGGCCGGGACGGGGGCAGTGCAGGGGGCCGCGCTGGAGCCTGGGGTTCGCCCTTCGCCTCCCAGGTACTGCACCCCGCGGCACCAGGACTTCGACGACCTGGAGCGCAAGTACTGGAAAAACCTGACGTTCGTGTCGCCCATCTACGGGGCGGACATCAGCGGGTCCCTGTATGACGATGTGAGTGCGCCTGCGCCGCCCTGACTCCGCCCGCGGCCCCGCCCACAGCCCTGCCTGGGCCCTGGCCCCGCCCGCGGCCCCGCCCACACGCCCTACCCGAGCCCTGACTCCGCCCACAGAGGAGGGGGGCAGGGCGGAGGCTGAGTGTCCCAAGCTCCGCCCACATCCCTGACTCCGCCCACGGCCCCGCCCACGGCCCTGCCTGGGCCCTGGCCCCGCCCGCGGCCCCGCCCACACGCCCTACCCAAGCCCTGACTCCGCCCACAGAGGAGGGGGGCAGGGCGGAGGCTGAGTGCCCCAAGCTCCGCCCACATCCCTGACTCCGCCCACGGCCCCGCCCACGGCCCTGCCTGGGCCCTGGCCCCGCCCGCGGCCCCGCCCACACGCCCTACCCAAGCCCTGACTCCGCCCACAGAGGAGGGGGGCAGGGCGGAGGCTGAGTGCCCCAAGCTCCGCCCACATCCCTGACTCCGCCCACGGCCCCGCCCACAGCCCTGCCTGGGCCCTGGCCCCGCCCACGGCCCCGCCCACACGCCCTACCCAAGCCCTGACTCCGCCCACAGAGGAGGGGGGCAGGGCGGAGGCTGAGTGCCCCAAGCTCCGCCCACATCCCTGACTCCGCCCACAGCCCTGCCCACGCACCCTGTCTGGGCCCTAACTCCGCCCACGGCCCCGCCCACACACCCTGTCTGGGCCCTAACTCCGCCCACGGCCCCGCCCACACACCCTGCCCGGGCCCTGACTCCGCCCACACCCCCACCCTGCCTCGGCCCCAGCCCTGCCCAGCCCGCTTCTGGGCACTGCCCTGGCTTCGGCTTGCCAGTGCCTTCTGCAGCCTGGTCCCGTGCTGGTGGTGACATACCTCTGGCCCAGCCCTGCTCCCCCTCCCCTTGCCTGGGCTTCTCGGGACGCCCCGACTTGTCCATGTGTGTTGAAAACAAGGCGGTGCCCCCACAAGGACAAGAAGCGCCCCAGGCTAGGGGGAAATACTTGCTGGAGACTGACTCATCTCGTGGGGGCCGCGCGTGCACAGCCGGGTTCAGTCCCCGGCATCCCCTAGGGCCCCCAAGTGCTGCCGGGAGCAATTCCTGAGGGTGGAGCCAGGAGTAACCCCTGAGCACCGCCGGCTGTGGTCCCCAGATCCCCATCACCCCCAAAAAGGACTCGTCTCACACGGGACCTTTGCCCAAAATCTCTAGAGAATGACAGTCCCCGGGTGGAGAATCAGCTCTAACCGCCTGGGCCAACACTGAAGGTGCCTGGGTGTCCAGGGTGGTCCGTGGCATTTGGTTTCCGTCTGTGTGAACTACCAAGTGCTTGGGGAAAGTGGGTCATTGTGGTTGTGTGGACCCTACGTGTCCACTCATGACCAGGCCGGGAGTGGGCCTTCGGCATTTGGGGCCCAGAAAGGCCTCTCCCATGCGCTTGGCCCTCGGGGGCTGGAAGTGGGCGCGTGTGTGTGTCAGAGCTTTGAGGTTTAATGAGGGCTAACTTACATGTTCGTCAGAAAGAGACAGGGTCTGGGGTATGGCGTGGGCGCTGGGTCCCCACCTCTGCAAGGTGTCGGAAGGCCGAGCAGGCCCCTTGCTGCCCACCGGGTCACTGATTCTGAGGCTTGTGAATGGTTCTCGGTACCCCGGCATTCCACAGTGAACCCTCTGTTCCTAGGGCACTCCAGAAGGTTCCGGATGGTCTGTGAGGGTGGGAGCGATTGGACAGTGGGGAGGGCCTTGCGCGCGGCCAACCCAGGTTTGATCCCCGGCATCCCAGAGAGTCCTTCAAGCCCTGAGGAGTGTGATCCCCGAGTGCAGAGCCAGGAGTCAGCCCTGAGCACCGACGGGTGAAATGGAACTAAAACGAAACTGAACAAAATGGGAAAAACCAAACTGTGTGTGGGTCTGGGCTGCGTGCAGGAGGAGGCCGGGCTAGCCAGGACTGCAGCTGCTGGCGTCAGTGGGACTCTGCAGTGGGCCTCTTGGGGCTGTGTGGGGTGGTCATCCTGCTCCTGGACGCCCCCCTCCCCCCTGCTGCCTGACAGCCTGAGCTCTGCGCCCGCAGGACGTGGCCCAGTGGAACATCGGGAACCTGCAGACCATCCTGGACATGGTGGAGCGGGAGTGTGGCACCATCATCGAGGGCGTGAACACGCCCTACCTCTACTTCGGCATGTGGAAGACCACCTTCGCCTGGCACACGGAGGACATGGACCTGTACAGCATCAACTACCTGCACTTCGGGGAGCCCAAGTCCTGGTGAGTGGCCCCCAAGGCCGGTGGCGGCTGGGCCCGCCCCGTGGCTAGCCCCACCCGCCCCAGCTGCTGGCTCCACCCCTGCCGACTGCCGGCTCCGCTCTCGCCGTCTTTAGGAGTGACCTGGGGGGGTTGGCTTGGGGGAGAAGTGCGCCTCTCCCTAGAGTAGTGGTCTTGGGACCCGGGGGTCTGTGCTCGCACCCCAAGTGTCGTCTGTGGGAGTTGGGCAGGGCTGGTCTCTCCCCAAGTAGGAGGCGGCACCTCCTCCGCCCCAGCTGGTTGCCGCGGCCCTTCTGCGCCCCCGGGTCACCCTCCTCTCCAGGGCCCCTCCACAGCCACCTTGTGGTCCCTGCGGTGGGTGGACAGCAGGGCACGCCCTGGCTGGGTGCCGTCCAGTGCTGGCAGCCTCTGACGGATCCCCCCCACCCCCCGCCCAATGCAGGCTGGAGTCGGGGCCTGAACCATCTACCTAGCTGTGGGGGCCACCGGGGGTCAGGGCCTCAGGGACACAGGCGGAGCTGGTCTGTGCATGCCGTTGCTGCAGGGCGTGTGAGTGTGTGTGTACGCCCGGGGGTGTCTGGGTGTGCGCCTGAGGGTAAGTCCCTGTGTGTGCGCGCGTGTGTCCCCTCCCTTTCTTCAGCGCTGACCTGGCCTGCGTGTTCCCCGGCGGCCCCTAGGTGGCGCTCCTGCCCTTCCACGGCGCTGCCAGCATCGCCTCCAGCCCGGCTCCAGCTGGGGGCAGGAGACCCTGGCCTTGGCTCCCGCCCCGCGGGGACGCAGTCTCAGGCCCTGCTTCTCCGGAGGGAGAGGCCGTCTGGCGTCCGGTTCTGAGGGGCTGCGGGCTTGCGCTTGGGGCCGCCGTGTCTTTGGGGCTGTGGCTCCCTGCCCCTCCCCGGCCCACTTCTGTCTCACTGCCGCGGTGGCCCCAGTCTTCTGGGGAGGGGGCCTGGCCGGTTTCTCGTGGCCTGGACCTGTGTCCCCAGCAGGGGTGGCTGCCCGTGCCCCGGGGCCCCGCAGCACCGCGTCCCTGCGGAGGCCGCGTTTGTGGCTGTGCCATGCGGGAGCTGTGCCCCCTCGCCCAGGTGCCGGCTGTGCTCCTGACCCCACCCCGCCCCCGTGTCTGCGGGGCCCCAGCTGCAGCCTCCCGGGGTTGGGTGCTGAGTGCTGCCGCAGGGTCCTCGCGTGCGTGGCAGAGTGACCCAGAGCGGCCTGGTGTCGGCGAAGGTGGGACTTGGGAGGGCGGGCGCCTCTGAGGCTGTCTGTGCGTGCGGGCAGAGTCCCTCTGCGGGTGGGGGTGGGGGGGGACAGGGCGGGGACGGGACTGTGGGCAGTGGACAGAGGGCCGGGGAGGCTAAGGCTGGGCGTGTGTTTCACGGCTTGGCTGCAGCTGACCCTGAACTTCCTGTCGGAGAGGCCGCAGGGTCATCCAAGGGGCCTGGCCACCCCCCCGCCCCCCCACTGTTCCTCTGCAGGGCCCAGAGCCGCTCCCCCGGGTGCTCCTCTGGCCCTCTGCCTCCAGGCGGGCCCCAGGAGGCGACTCTGCCCATTGCCTGCCTCCTGACAGCAGGGGGCGCTGCGGGCCCACCGCAGTCTCCCAGGGGCCTTTCCAGCCCAGGATGCCGCCGCGGGCGCGCCTGTGGGCCCTGCTCTCCCGCCTGTCCCGGGCACGACGCCGTGGGAGGTGGGTGGCCGCAGGGGGTGGCGAGGCACCAGAGTCCTGGAGGCACCCGCAGGCGGCGGGGGAAGCCCCAGGCCAGACTGCAGGAGGGGCCGAGGCAGGAGCCCAGGGCGGGTCGGCCCTGGAGGCGGAGAGGCCCGTGGCGGTGGCGTCCGTCCATCCGTCTGCTTGTTGGTCTCTCCGTCTGTCTGTCCGCCTGTCCAAATGTCTGCCCATCTGGCCGTCCATCCCTCCGTCCACTTGCCGCTCTGATGCTCTGCCCGCTGGCTGGGCCTGGCAGGAGCAGATGGCCGTCCGTCGTTCAGCATGGGCACTTGGCGCCTGGGTGTCCGCGCGGTGCTGGCCAGCTCGTGGCCTCCGCACCTGCACCCCCACCCCCGCCGCAGCCCTGGCATCGGGCGGACTCGGGCTGTGGGGCTGGTTTCCACGGAGGGCGCCGGGGGCTTCCGCTCCGGGGAGCAGGGGCTGTTGTCGGCTGAGATCCCGGACAGTGGTGGGGACAGGGCGGGGGGTCCCGGAGCTCCGATGGTCTCCCGCGCGTGGGGCCTGCCCACGGGTCAGGACGGGAGGCACTGTGCCCTCGAGCCGACCTGACCCCTTGAAACACGCTTCCCTGGGGGACACCAGGGCCCTGCAGGGCAGGTGGGGCCGGGCTCCAGGCTGCAGGGGTCTGCGGGCCTTGTCCTGCCAGCCGGAGCCCCCTCGGCCCCACGGCTGGTGCCACGGTCGGGCCTCACTGCTCTGTGGGGGGCTCCCCCTCCCCCCCGGGGGCCTCCTGCCGGTTAATGGAGCAGATCCTGGGCAGGTGAGTCCCGCACACAGGCCCACACCCCACCCCACCCGGCCCTGCAGCTGCTGAGCACGACCCCAGCGTGTTGCCGTGGGACTTGGCATGTGGGCTCCTGCTCTGCCCCACAGAAAGGGGCCGTGGGCCTGGGGCCGTTTGGGAAAGCCACACACACACACACACACACACACACGCACACACGCGCACAGAGATACATGCACACACACAGACGCACACAGAGACACGTACATATAAACACACAGACACATGCGCATGCCCTTATACACAGAGACCCACAGACACAGAGACACAGTCACACACATTACAGACAAACACACACACACACACAGAGAAAGATACATGCACACACACAGAGACACATACATATAAACACACAGACACACGTGCACGTATACACAGACCCGTAGAGACCCACAGACACATACAGAGACACAGTCACACACATGCACACATAGACACACACACACACACACACACACACACACACGGGCACCCACGGGGCACGGGAACAGGCTGCAGCTCCGGGCCGATTGGGCTGGCTCCTCTGGCCAGGCGAGGAGGGTCCCCGTGATCCCACCTCCTCCTCTCGGCCAGCCCGGGTGCCCAGTGACTGTCACAACTGGCCTTTTCTGGCCCGAGGGCCACAGGGTTGTCCCCGCCCTGCCTGGGCCAGAGTCAGAGCCTAGCCTGGGGCTGCGTGTGGCCTGGCTCTGGCCGCGTGGGAGGCCAGTGTGGGTGGGCCTGTCGCTGTCCTGTCACTCCAGTCCCAGGACTCTGTCCCGTCTCACGCTGCGCCTTGGGGTCTGGAGCCTGTGGGTCGGGGCAGGGAGGCGCCCTGCGGCCAGGCGCGGACACCGAAGTTCACTGCCCGTCCCCCCGCTGGCCCCGTCCCGGCACCCACAGCGAGCTCGGGGACGATGGGAGACAGTTTGCGTGTCGTGGTCACCCTGAATTCTCGGGGCCCCGGTCCTGGGGCACCCAGCCGGGGTGCGGTTCACACAGGACGGCTCTTGAGGTGGGTCGGGGTGCTGGGACTCCAGCGTGGCTGCCCCCAGTCTGGTCATGCTCGGAACCTGCGTGTCAGGGAGCGACGGGAGGCCTGGGTGATGCGTGGGTGCCGGGGGGAGCCCCGCAGGGGGCACCACGGAGTGTCGTGGCCACGCACCCCTCGCCACCCACCCGAGTGTCCCCGCTCTGGCCAGGCGCTCCGGATGGCCCGTGTCCCTCTTCCTGACACACTCATTTAATTGCGAACTCGCGAGGCCCTGGCTTATTTATTCTCATTGTTCTTGATAATAATTCTGAGCCATTAGAGGGGAAAATTATATTCAAAAATGCTGTTTCACACTTTATTTGTTTGATGATTTAGAGCGATAGAAAATAGCCCATTTGCTGGCTTTTATAGTCTGATAATTATTCACATCCATCAAGCCATTCCAGGGGAATAAACAAAACACCGAGAAAATGACACTATTAATAGCGTCCTCCGCGGCCGACAGGAAGCCGTGTCGGGGCTGGCGCGGGGCTGCCTCCGAGGGCATGTTCCTGCCGCCGGGCCCTGCCCCCACCGTGGCCCTGCTGGGTCCCCTTGAGCCTGGGGTCCAACACGGGCGAGGGGCCGAGCTGTGCCCGAGCCAGGGGTCCCAGGTCCCGTGCCCCGCGGGCAGTGCCAGCCCACCTCTGCTCTCGCCCCGTGGGCTCTCAGCCTCCTCTTGGGGGAGGCCGTGGCTGCAGACACCCCCAAGAACAAGCAGGGGCCCAGGACGGCGGGGGAGCCGGGGCCGGGTCTGCTTCCGGGGGGGGCTCAGCCTGCGGCATTTCGGGGGACACGTCCCTCAGGCCCTGCTCCCCCTCCCTCCCGCCAGCTGGTTCTCGGGATGGAGCCGTCTGGATTTTCCCGCCCGGGCCCCAGGCTTGCCGACACGGCCGCCTCCCTGCAAAGGGCCCCCAGTGGCCTGCGCGCGAGTTCATGGAGCCTGTCAGCCTCAGATGGGGGCTTGGCGCCGCCAGCCTGCCGGGCGGATGGTCTGTGCCGTTCGAGTACGGCCGTCCAGGGGGTCTTGGTGCAAAGCCTGGGAAGGGAGAGGGCAGGAGGGCGGGCGGGGAGGAGCCTCGGGTTGGGCTTTGTGGGCCGTGCTCCGGAAGGGGGGGCTCTGGCCTGGCCCAGCCTGGCTTTGTGCGCGCACGCGCGCACACACACACACACACACCCATTCTGATTCCATCCTTGGGGCGCCCTTGGTCCATTCGCCGCCCACAGCTCTGCTTCCTCCCTTCACCCCTTAGCTTGTGTCCTGGCCACCAGGGAGGTGACTGCTGGCGAGGCCTGAGGGTGCCCAGGAAGTGGCGCGTCTCGGGGTGACCCAGCCGGTTACTCTGCAGGAAGGCCGTGGCGGGCAGAGCACCCGGGCTTGGCCCCGAGGTCTCTTTGCTTGGGGGCCACACTCGGCTCTGTCTCAGCAGGATCCCTCCTGGCGGTGCTGGGGACCCTCCGGGGTGTGAGGCCAGCGCCCTCCCCGCTGTGCTGCCGCTCCGGCCCTGAGCTCGCAATGGGTTTGCCCTTGTGGGGAGCCCAACAGCCCCGGGAGTCGGAGGCTGGTCCCCCCCATCCCCTGCCGGGCCCTGACCTGCGAGTGGCAGATGGCATGTGTCGGCCCAGCGGGCGGCCCCCAGGCTCTCCCTCCCCCTCTTGGAGCCGAGCCTGGTCGCCCGGGCTGCGGGACCCCACAAGGCCCTGCTCTGGGGGGCCCTGCCCTCAGGGGGCCCACGGGGCTTCGGGGTCCTGGAGTCGCTGGGTGGACTCGAAGCCACTTTGCTGCCTGCCTCCTCCTCGGGTGTGTCCCTGCGGCGGGGAGGGGGACCCCGGCCTCTCCGTCACCCCCAGAGCTGCCCCCACCTTGAGCCAGGCGGGGCGTCCCCTCTTGGTCTCTCGGGGGGCCTTGCTTCTGCCGGCTCCATGGGCGTCCTGCCGGCTGGACTTCCCGATAGTGTGCCGGCGGGTCCAGCTTCCCGCAGCCCCCAGATTCCATTAATCTTATCATTACAACTGCCAATTACAGGCCGTAATTACGGGAGAGCTGCACGCTGTCCGGGAGTGTGCGTGGTGCTGCGGGCGGGTGGGGTCGGGGGTGGGGGTCGGGCCTCCCCCCCAGGGGCTTGGCTCTGGGGCCAGCTGTTGCCCCTTTGTGTTAGGGGGGAAGTGGGCCCCCACCCCGGAGTGCCTGCCCTCCCTTCTGGACAAATCAGGGGAATTCTCCGCAGCCGCCAGTAGACTCCCAGGCCCCCAGCCGGCCTGGGCATGCGAGTCAGGCCCACACCGAGACGCCCGCGCCTGCCCCCGCCCCTGTCGGCACAGCGTCTGTTTCCCGTCAGGCTGCCTGCCCGCGGCCAGGGTGGGGGCTTCCGGGGGCTTCTAGCCCTTGGCGGGGGCTGGGGGTCCTTCACGCTCCCTTCCAGAGGGGCCTCGCGGCGAGAGGGAGCGAGAGCCCCTGGCAGTGCTGTTTACGTGGGGTGGGCGTGGGTGTCTCTCTCGCTGGCCGCCCTGGGCAGAGTGACCCCACGGGGATGTCCCTGGCGCATGCCAGCTGGGCCTGGAGCTTCGGGGCAGGTCTGGGGCTTGTGGCGGCTGTCCTGGCGTCCTCCTGGCCCCCCACCAGAGTCCCCCCACCCCCCGCCGGCCCTCCTGCACGCCCGTCTCAGCTGCGCCCGGGAAGTGGGTCATTCCCGAAGCCTCTCTTCCAGCCTGACCACGTCGTTCTCGCTCACCCTCAGGTACGCCATTCCCCCGGAGCACGGCAAGCGCCTGGAGCGGCTCGCCATCGGTAGGTGCCAGCCTTCTCGACGTGCCCGTGGGCGCCCGTGGGTCCGTGTGCTGCTGGGTCGGGCCTCCTGCTGGCCCCACACCGCCCTGCGTGGCTCGTTCTGTGTTTCTCGTCCTCTGGCTTGCGTATTTGATGTCCGGCCACACCTGGTGATGCTCAGGGCTGACTCCTGTCTCTACACTTGGGGGTCCTTCCTGGTGGGGCTCTGGGGACCCTGCGGGATGTGGGGGATCGAACCCGGGTTGGCCGTGTGCAAGGTCAGTGCCTTCCCTGCTGTGCCATCGCTGGGGCCCAAGCTGCAGCGTCTGTCTTGCCTGGAGGAACCCCGAGGCCTAGGGCCTGGGGAGCTGGGCCGGCTGGGGCGTCTCCCTGCATCGAGACCCTCCCCAGGTCCCGGCTGCGTTGGCGAGGAGACGCCTGGGGTCTGGGCAGCCTCCACTTGGCCTGGCTGCATGGACACACTCACTCTCTCTCTCACACACACACACACACACACACACACACACACACACACGCTCCTGTGGGGGTGGGGCTGCAGGGTCCGGTGACCCCCAGTCGGAGGCCGGGTGGTGTCCTTGGGGGTCGGTCCGTGTCCCGGCTGGGTGGGGCCAGGGCAGGGGTGGGCTGGGGGTGGGCGGCGGCGGCGGGAGGAGGTCCGGGAGGGGAGGCGCAGGGCACAGGCCTCCCGGCCCCCCGCAGCGTCCCCCCCGCCGGTCTCAGGGACGCGTGGCAGACTCCATCCTGGAGATGGGTGGAAGGAGCCGGCGATTAATAGGGGGAATGAAAAGCCGCGCGCAGATGGGCTCGCGGGGAGCCGCGCCCGCGGAGGGAGAGCGCATTAACGTGCGGGGCCTTATTGGCGCTAATCACTTAAGACTCGCGTCTTTATTAGGGCTTCGATGAGAGCCACTTACGCCGCCCATTAAGGAGAGGCACTGCGGCGCGGGCCGGGCCCCCGGCAGCCGTAACTCTAATTGAAATGCTTTTAGCGCCGAGCCGGCTTGCGGGATCCGGACGTTTCTCATGCTCGGCGGCCCGCGCCGGCCCCGCGCCGGCCGCCTCCTGCCTGCAGGGACGCGCGTGCGCACGCGGCTCTGCTGTCCGGCCGGGCCCGGGGTCGGGGGGGGGTCACCCCACCTCCCCGGGGAGAGGTGGGCATCGAGGCAAGTTCCCGGGGGCCCCCCGGTGGCCCTGTGGGCCGCTGCTCGGGGCTGCTGCGGGGTCTGTCTGTCCACACGGAGGCGGGGTCTTGGGGGGCGGCCCCGGTGCTGGAGGGGGCGGGGGGGTCTGTCCCCGTGGTGGATGGGGGAGGGGGCTGGCCACGACTCCCGGCCCGTGTCCCCCCGCAGGCTTCTTCCCGGGCAGCTCCCAGGGCTGCGACGCCTTCCTGCGTCACAAGATGACCCTCATCTCGCCCATCATCCTCAAGAAGTACGGCATCCCCTTCAGCCGGGTACGTGCGCGGAGGCTCAGCCTGGGCGGGGGCCGGGCGGGAGGGGTGTGAGGAGTGGGGGGCTTCCCCGCCCTGGACTCCTGAGGGCCCCCGGGAGCTTCCGTCCGCCACATCGGGGGCCGTGATGGGTGAGGACCTGGGGTGGCGGGGGGGGGGGGGCTCGTCCCCGGCTCCGCCCTGCCCCCCCCACGGAGGGGAACGACCCGGAAGGGGGTCCTCGGAGGTGCCCCAAGAGCGTTTGCTCTGCGGCCAGGCCCGGTGCTGCCTGCCTGTGTGCAGCCCCTCCCCGCGCCAGGGTGTCAGCGAGTCGGAAACTGCTCTGACATTTCAGTCCGTCCGCAGCAGCTGCGTGAGGAGCGGCCGGCTGTGCTGGCTGGCGCTGCAGCCGGGGGCGGCTCCAGCAGTCCCTCGCCTTCTCTGTCTGTCCGTCCATCCGTCTGTGCCCGTGCATACTTCCTCCCGCCCCCCCCTCTGTCTGCCCTGCAGTGGGCAGGCTCCCCTCCCCTGGCACACACGCCCCCCACCCGCTTTCTCCCACTGCACAGCCTGACCGCGGGGCTGCTGGCAGGGGCTTGGGGGCCGACGGGCTCATGCCCTGGGCCCTGGGCAGGCAGCACGGAGGCCCCCCAGACGGCAGGGGCCCCCTCATCTGAATTCCTGGCAGCCCTCAGAGGACTGTGTCCCTGCACCCCACTTATAAATCTCTGCAATGGTATTTACTTCTCCGAGAAAACGCAGATCGATCGCCGGGCTCGTTAATAATTAAAAGTGTGTGTTTCTGTGATGTGCCATCGGCGCTCGCATGCACGGTGAGAGCCAGAGCTGGCGACAGGCCGAGGCCCGGCCATCCATCACCCCGGCCCCCCGTGATGGATCGTGGGGCCCCAGCTGGCGGTGGCGACGCGGAGGGCGCGCGCCCCGGGCTGGAAAGCGGCCCTGGCAGGAGCAGGGCTTCTTGTCTTCCAAGCTCGGTGCACCTGGTGGGCCTGATCTATGGCCCCGGGGTCTCCTGTCGCCCCCCACTGCTCCCGCATTTCCCCTCCCCAGCCCTCCCCCCCGCCCCCCCCCCGGGTGATGCCAGCCTCTGCGCTGTCCACACTGGCCTCTGTCCCAGCTCCAGGCCCCCAGCAGGACAGGCCGCCCAAGCCAGGCCCCACCTCCGGCCATCTGCAGGACAGGAAGCCCCAGAGGGACCCAGGGTGCACACACACGCGGGTCCCTCTGGGGCCCTTCCTTGACCTTCCCCACCCAGCTCCGTCCAGCCGTGATGGTGGTTTCGATGGCTTCTGGGCTTGGGGAGGCCCCAGGGCTCGAGCCCCTGGCTCCGGAGCAGGATGTGGGCGGGCCTCCCCACCCCCCCGACCGGGGACACCCTGTGCACCCCAAGGAGCTCCTAGCGTGTGGGCCAAGTCCCAGGCCCCCATCGCGACCCCTAAAGCAGGACGCCCAAAGGTCCCTGCAGGCCAGCGCCTGGGGGCAGGGGGCGGGACCACGCAGGGTGGGAGGAGCAGAGCTGGCCAACAGGCCTGCCGGGACCGGGGAGGCCAGACGGAGGGTGGCGGCGGGGCGCACCCAGGGGCCCTCTGCTGCCTGGCGCTGTTGGGACGGCGGGCCTCGGGCTCTCCCGGGGAAGCAGGGCCCTGGCGGCACTGTGGGGCCTGGGTGGGAGGGCCCGTACCCCGTGTCTGCAGGGGCTGCCTGGGCTCTGGGCGTTTCCGTGCCCCCCCCCCGCGTGCTGGTGGGTGAGTCTCCTGACAGCGGCCTTTCCTTCTTCCCCTCCGTCCTCTCCGCCCGCAGATCACGCAGGAGGCCGGCGAGTTCATGATCACTTTCCCCTACGGCTACCATGCCGGCTTCAACCACGGCTTCAACTGTGCCGAGTCCACCAACTTCGCCACCCTACGGTGGATCGACTACGGCAAGGTGGCCACGCAGGTAGGCCGGGCCCGGGGGCGGCGTGGGGGACCCTCAAGAAGCCAGGCCCAGTCGTGGGAGCCTTTGCTCTAGGGCCCAGGGCCGGGCAGGTGCCTGGCAGGTGGGCGCCACATTCCCCAGGGCGGGCGGTGTGGCCCTGTGGCACAGGCGATGCGGGGACCCTGGCTGGGGGCACTGGCTGGGATGGGCCGCTGACCTCGGCGGTCCTGGTGTCCCTGCAGCTCCAGGACCTGCGGGCTCAGCAGAAGCTCTGGGTTCCAAGCGTGGGGGGCCACGGGGGGCCTGGCGGGGGCCTCTGGGGGCCCTGTGGGCCCGGTTTGTGTGGACACGGCGGCAGAGCTGGGTCCTGTCCCTGTGGGGCTGTCAGAGCCGGGCTTGCCGGGACCACCCAGATATTCAAAGTGATCTGGGGCTCAGCCACGTGTCCCCAAACGAGTGACATTTGGGAAGTGCAGCTGGGCTCGGGCCGGCGCTGATAAGCTGGGCGGTGTAGCGTGAAATTACCGAGCAGGCCTGCAGCTCCCAGCCGGGGAGCCCTGGGCATGCGCTGGGGGCAGGCGGGCCGCTCCGGCCCGCAGACCTTGGCACCAAGACCCCATGGGCCTGCACGCGTGTGTCCAGGTCACGGTCCCCAGCGGGGTCCCTGCGGCCCCTTGCCCTGTCGAGAAGGGGCCGTCCCAGGCACGGGTGGGGGAGGGGCAGCTCGCGCCAGTACATCTGTCGGGCAGGGACTTGGGGGGACTTGGGGGGGCTCGGCGCCCACAGACTGGGGATGTCAGCTGGCCACGTCCAGTCTCCCCCAGCCCCCGGGCTGCCCCCCGCTGACACACCCACCGCCAGGCTCCCGTTCTCGGGCTGTGTACACTGCCGGCCATGGTGACACCGTCACAGGGGCCCAAGCCTCGCTCCGGCCTGCCACAGTGTGTGTGTGTGGGGGGGTCCTCACTGTCGCAGTGCCCCAAGGGGCAGAGCGGGAGCGGCCACCCTGAGCTGTCCCTTCATGGAGCCGAGTCCTACGGTGTCCGCTGGGCCCCGTGGGGTGTCTGGCATCCCGTTCCCCTGGAAGCCCGGCACACCCTGGACCATCCAGGTCCCGTGTTCTCAGGCGCGTGTCCCCGTGGTCCTGGGCAGCGTTGGGCAGCCCTGGGGCGGCCAGTGCCAGGTGCTCCGCTGAGGTCGCCCGGCCCTCCCCGGGACATGGCTTCGGGGTGGCTGGCCTGCATTGTGATCAGCAGGGGCTGTGCGGACCACGGGATCGCCACGAACTGTCTGTCCGCCGCCCCCCCCCCCCACACCCCCCCCCCGCCACGGCCACCAGCACATCTCGGCTCATCTCCCCCTGCAGCTGTTGACGCCCTCCGAGCGCCGCCCAGGGGCCCCTAGGTGCAGAGAGAGGCTGAGGGGCCCAGATGCTGCTGCCCCTGCCCTCCGTGCCTGCCTGGCACAAGGCTTCGCAGCCACCCCCAGGGGAACGTGCCGGGCACGTTCGGTGTGGGGAAGACCACTAACCGGCCTGAGGGGGGCGGCGGGCGGGCCAAGCTCGAGGGCGAGCTCCCCCAACAGCCACCCAGCCTCTGACTGGCAGTGCAAGCTGGCTGGAGCTGGGAGGTCTGGGAAAGGGTCCCCTCGGCCACACTGGCCTCCCGCCCAACCCCACGCGTACCTGGGGGCGCTGAGACCGTGCGGACCCCCTGCCCTGGAGCAAGGCCTTCTCAAAGACGGGGACGCCCCTCAGCCCGGCTGGGCTCGGCCTCTGCCAGGCAGGAGGGGTCCGGCTTCCGGTGTCCCAGGACAGGTGCCCCTCGGGCGGGCGGGGGTTCCTGGTAGGGGCGTCTCGGCCCTCCTGCTGTCGCCCTGCCCAGGCCCTGGGGGGCCTGGGGATCGAGCGGGTATGTGTGTCGGGCCGGACCCCGGGGGCCCGTCTGCTGGGGGCCGCGGGCAGGACTGTGAGCACCTGGGCTGTCGCTTGGGCATTGCTGGGGTTGGACAAGGAGCCCCCAGAGGAAGGGGACCCTCTCGGAACGGGGTGTGGGGGGTTGCTGTGGTGCTGGGCCGAGTGGTAGTGGGGGACCCGTGGTGTCTCGCGGGCTCTGAGTGCAGTGAGCCCCCGGGCGGGCCGGGGAACCCAGGTGCTTCCTGTTCCCTTTCGGTCTCAGGACCCTCAGAAAGCAGCTGGTGCTCCCGAGTCGGGGAGCAAGGGACACCCTTGGCCGGCCACCCGCAGGCCCCACCCCCGGCTGCCGCCCGCCGCCCTCCCCCACCGAGCGCCAGGCTCCTCTCGCGCTCCCGGAGCCGGGCGTCTGAGCGCTTCACGCCGACAGGCTCCACGGGGCCCCGGGGGGTGCTCAGGCCTGGGGGGGGTCTTGCCGCCTGCGCCGCCTGCCGCCTTGGAAACGAGGCTGCTCCCACCTCTTCCCCCGCCGCGGAATGAGGGCGCCCGGGATGCTGCTGGCACCCCACGGACCCGGGCAGCCGGGGCCTCTCGGGGGGCTGCCGCGGCCCCCTCTCAGGCTCCCCCCCCCCCCGCAGTGCACGTGCCGCAAGGACATGGTGAAGATCTCCATGGACGTGTTCGTGCGCATCCTGCAGCCCGGCCGCTACGAGCAGTGGAAGCAGGGCAAGGACCTGACGGTGCTGGACCACACGCGGCCCACGGCCCTCAGCAGCCCCGAGCTCAGCTCCTGGAGCGCCTCCCGCGCCTCCCTCAAGGCCAAGCTCCTCCGCAGGTGCGCCGCCTCCCCCCTCCTCCCCGCCTCCCCCCTCCTCCCCGCCTCTCCTCCCTCCCCCCTGCGCCCCTCCCCCTCCCCGCTCTACCATCTCCTGTTCTGTGCCCCTGATTGCCGGCGTGGCCGCCTCAGTTTCCCTCTCGCGCCAGGTCTCCCAGGCCCCGGGAGGCGGCCTTTGCCCCCGCCCATAGGCTCCTGTCCGCCTGCCTCACTCTGCCCCTCGCGCCCACGTGGCCTGGTGCCGGATTCCCTGGGCACCCCACTTGCCACCCCCCAGCACCCTTGGAGCCCCAAGCAGAGGCCAGTGTCGGCCCCCTCCGCCCCTTCAGCTGTCTGCCAGCCTCATGGCCCCCGGCCCAGAGAATGTCCAGCCGGCCAGCCTCTCGCTGCTGGGGCCTCCCGCAGGGCGGGAACCGACCCTGCCTCGCTCCAGGGGTCCTGCTGACGGCACAGCTGCCCAGGACAGCCCACCAGGCCCCTGACCCCGAGGAAGGACTCAGAGAGAGTGGAGAGGGAAAGAGAGGAGAGAGAGAGGATGCCAGGCCCCCAGAGTGGACCCTGGTGCCGGTCAACAGACAGGACAGGGCCGGGCGGGCCTTGGTGCCTCCTTCCTGAGAAAGCGGTGGCAGTGTGTGCTCCCGCTGCGTGACAGCTGCAGGGACAGCCAGTGGGGCGGGCGGGCTGCACACACACCGGCCAGGTGGGGACCCCCACCCCGGAGAGCCCCAGAGCCTGCCCGCCTGGTCTCCTCCGCAGGAAGTGCTGGCCCTTTAAGAGCCCCTGGGAGGGGCCGTTAGGGCAGCCCCAGCCCCTTGCCTGCTGGTGGGTCAGTGCCCCGAGCCCCCTTGGACCAGGGACAGGAGAAGGCCCGCGGGGGCCCAGCTGTGGGCCAGGGGAGTCGGCAGTGGAGGGACCTTTCCCAGGACTCCTGTGCCCACCACCAGGGGGCGCCCCGCCACCTTGCAGGCTCCGGCTTGCGGGTACCCCTTGCACCCGCCTCCGGCTCCTGCCACCCTGATGCTCCTCCCTCTGGCCATGTCCCGTGACATGCCTGTCCCGTGACTGAGCCAGGGTCTCGAGGGTCGGCCCCAGTCCCGGGCCCTGGAGGAGCAGGGTGGAAGGAAGGCCCGCGGGGGGCAGGTGGGGGGGTCCGCGCCGCCTCCCCTCGGGGCTGCCCTCCTGTCTCTCTCTCCTCGGCCTGGCCCTCCCTGGGGTCTCGGGGGTCGGCCGGCCCCGGGGCACCGTGGGGGGATGGAGCCCAGCCCCAGCCCTGTCGTCCCCGCGTAGACAAATCAGCCTGAAGGAAAACAGGCACTGGCGGAAGGCCGAGGAGGAGAGGAGGCCCAGCCTGGAGAGGAAGCGCGAGCCGGGCAGGAAGCCGGGCTGCCCGTAAGTGCCCCGCGCCCGCCCGCCCGCAGCCACTGGGGCGCCCTGGGCCGCCGCCCGCCTGCCTCACCGTCCTTGTCTCCAGGTCTCACCGGAAACGCAACCCGCCCAAGAAGCCCAAGCCCGAGGACCCCAAGTCGCCGGGGGAGGGGGCGGCCGTCCCAGAGGAGGGGGCGGGGAGCAGCGCCAAGGAGCCGGCGCCCCCCGAGGCCGAGCACGAAGAGGACGGCGAGCCGCAGATGCTGCCCCAGGCCCGGGAGGCCGAGGGCGCGGAGGGTGGGTCGGGGACCCCCCCTTCCGGGGCTGGCTCACGGGACCATGGCTTGGACCCGAGAATGTGTCCTGAGACCTCTGGGACCCACGACGGCATGCCCCGTGTGTCTGTCTGTCCGTCGACCCCGTCCCCCAGCATCAGGGAGTGGGGCGAGGTGGGCTTCGGGGCCCCCAGACCCTCTTGCCTGAGGCCAGGAGCGCAAGCGGAGGGGGACCGTTCCCAGACGCTGGGGGTGGAGCCTGGAGTGGGCTTGCCCAGCCCCCTGCAGGGAGCAACCCCCCCGAGTGTCCTGCTGGGAGCCGTGTGGCCAACGCAGACACAAGAGCCCCAGCGCGGCCGCGACCCCTGGGACCCACTGGCCAGCCTCTCCCCGACCCCTGACCTCTCTTGGTTCAGGCGTCTCACAGGGGCGGGGGGCACACTCCGGGAAGGCACTCTCTGGTGGGGGGTGCCCGTGGCCCAGGCTGCTCCCTGGACGCTGCCCTCTCTCCCCGCAGAGGACGGGAGGGCCAAGCTGCGGACCCCCAAGGCCAGGAGCGACCGGAAGAAGAAGGGCCTCAGCCCCCCGCACGCCCCCTGCCCGCTCCTGCCTGTCCTGCCCGCACCCCCTCCCCCGCAGCTCTCCGGCAAGGAGGCCCCCCGGCTGGAGCCCCTGGGGCCCCCCACAGGCCCCGCCGCCGAGGAGAGCCCCCCGCCGCCGGCCCCCCTCAACGTGGTGCCCCCCGAGGCCCCGGGCGAGGAGCAGGAGGCGAAGCCGCGCCCCATCATCCCCATGCTCTACGTGGTGCCGCGGCCCGGGCCGGCCGCCCCCGGGGACAAGGCCCGCGCGCCCTGCCCGCCGCCCGCCGAGCCCCTGGGCCAGAAGGGCCCTGCCTGGAAGGCCCAGCCGGGGCCCATGGAGCTGGCGGGGCCCGAGGAGGACAGCGGGGCCCTGGACGGGCAGGTGAGGGCCGCGGAGCGGGCAGGGCGGGCCGCGGGGGGCTGCCAGGCCCAGCCCCGCACCCACGCCCTGCCCCGTGTCCAGGCCCCCCCCACGTTCCCCAAGCTGAAAATGGAGATCAAGAAGAGCCGGCGACACCCGCTGGGCCGGCCGCCCACCCGCTCCCCGCTCTCCGTGGTCAAGCAGGAGGCGTCCAGCGACGAGGGTGAGGGACCCGGGACCCTCCCCGCGCGCCCAACCCGTCGTGCCTGTCCCCGCAGGAGACCTGGGTGGCTGGTGGCCCCGGACGGCCGTGGGCAGCGATGGACTAGGCGGGAGCCCGGGTGGGGTCACCTGCCGGGCCTCAGCCGGTCCCGGCCAGGCACCGTCCAGCCCCGGGCCCCTCCCCCCCGCACCCCCGCCCCGGGGTGGGGGCCGCTTCCCGCCTGCTCATCCTGCCCCAACTGACCGCAGAGGCGCTGCCCTTCCCGGGGGAGGAGGACGCGAGTGACCCCGCGGCCCTGCGGACGCTGCTGGCCATGCAGTGGGGGGACCAGGCCGCCTGCTTCCAGACCGAGTGCAAGTTCAACGCCGCCGCCGCGCGGACGGAGCCTCACTGCGCCGTCTGCTCCCTCTTCTACCCCTACAGCCAGGTGGGCCCGCACCCCTGCACCGTGGGGGGCACAGGAGCCCCGCTTCGGGAGCCCACGGCCACCCCCTGCCGCGGCAGAGCGCACCGTCCCAGGACGGGCCCAGGGTCCCACAGGGGCCTCTGCGGGTGGTGCATGGGGGGGGTGCTCAGAGCACCTGTGGGGCCTGTGTGGGTGGTGCGGTGCCCCCGGAGACCCGGGCAGGACAGCTGCTGACCGACTGCCAGGGTGCTCTGGGGCCCCGGGCCCAGCGGGATCCCCCACCCTGTTGTGGGGCGCCCGACTGAGCATGCCCCCCCCAGTCCCTGCAGACGGACAAGGAGGCCCCGCAGGCTCCCACGGGGGAGGCCAGCCCGGCCACACCTTCCTCCCAGAGTGGCCGGAAGACGCGGCCACTGATCCCTGAGATCTGCTTCACCTCGGGCGGGGGCAGCGCGGGGAGCACAGAGCCGCTGCCCTCCAGCGCGGCCATTGGCGAGGATGGCGCCAGCCTGCTCGTGGCCTGCACCAAGTGCTCCCTGCAGGTCCATGCCAGTGAGTGCCGCGCCCAGACTCGCCCCCGAACCCTGCCCCGAGGGGCCCCCAGGAGCACGAGTCCCCTGTGTATGCATGTGCGTGGGGCGGGCAGCGCCTGGGACCCTCGGCCCTCGTGGCCCCAGCCCGCCTGCACCCGTTGCCCGTGACCCCTCCTCTCCCGGGGAAGGCGGGGAGTGGGGGGCTGCGTGGGGGATCGAGCCCAGCGCCCACCGTCTTGCAGGCTGCTACGGCGTCCGGCCAGAGCTGGTCAGCGAAGACTGGACGTGCTCCCGCTGCACTGCGCATGCCTGGACTGCGGTAACTGCCTCTGCCTGCCTCCCCGGGGGGGCCTTGGGGACCCCGGGTGTCTGCCCGTCCCCTGGGGTGGCCCAGAGGCAGTCCTGCCTCCGGGCGATGCCGTGGGTCCCGTCCGTCCCCACGCCCCCACTCCGGCGGCTGCTGGTCTGAACGTGAGGCCCTTGGGTGGAGACCCCGTGGCCCGGAGCGCGAGGGTCGGGAGGGGCCGCCCAGCCGCGCCCTCACGGCCTGTGCCCACAGGAGTGCTGCCTGTGCAACCTCAGGGGAGGCGCCCTGCAGATGACCACTGACAGGAGGTGGGTGTGCGGCTGCAGGTGGCCTCTGACGGGGGGGGGGGTGGGGGCTACCCGGCCGGGGGTGACGCCCGCCCTGCCCCCCCCACCCCCCGTCCAGGTGGATCCACGTGATCTGCGCCATCGCGGTGCCCGAGGTGCGGTTTGTGAACGTGATGGAGCGCCGCCCCGTGGACATCAGCGCCATCCCTGAGCAGCGGTGGAGGCTGGTGAGTCTGGGGCCTGGGGGGGGGAGGCCGCCCGCGGCTTCCTCGTGCTTCGGTTCGGCCGGGCCGGGCCGGTTCCTTCCGGGAGCAGGCGCCAGGCAAGGGGGTCCAGCTTCTGCCTGCGCTGAGGTCGTGGGGCGCCAGGGCCCCCAGTGTGTGTTCCGGGACAAGTGCCTGGTGAGCAGCACCGGCCAGGGGCCCCCACTGCTCTCTCCGGGAAAGGCCTCGCACCCCCTCTTCCTGGGGGGCCACACCCGGCAGTGCTTAGGGGCCCCTGTGGGGTACTGGGGTGAACCCGGATGTCCGCCTGCCGGGCCAGCGCCCTCCCCGCCGTCTGCTGCTCCGACGTGGCTCCAGAGGAAGGCGGGTGGGTCACAGGGCACCAGGCAGGCCTCAGGCATGCCGGGTGGCGTCCTCCCTCCGGAGACGCACCCAGGAGTGGCGTCGCCGCCAGCCAGGACTTCCAGGACTGCTCTTCCCCCTTCCCTGTGACGGCGGGTTCGCACAGCCGCGCTCCCTCTGCCGGGAACGTCGTGGCCTGGCGCCTGGCACCGGCGGGATGGGAGTCGCAGCCTCCCAGGGTTCGCCTGGAGGACGACGCCTCCTCCCATGGACCCCCAGGGCACTTGGCCTGGGGTCACTAGTGGCCAACCGCGGTTTGGATGTGCGTTCCCCGATCTCCAGAATGCAAGCGTCTCCGCCTGTCCTCCCCAAAGCTGGCTGGTCGTCTGTCCATAGCTGGCCCCCGGATGCAGGGCGGTGGCGGGAACTCCGTCCGTCCCTGGGCAGCCCAGCAGGGCTTTCCGGCTACAGAAGGGGGCCGCAGAGCTCCTCTGTCCAGTGGCGCGGGCGCCCTCCCAGTCCGGGGCACAGCCGAGGGTGGGGCTGGCCGGGCCGGGTGGAGGATGGGGGCCTGGGGCCACTCCCGGGAGAGCTGCGGACGTCCCGGGCTCGTTACTCAGGCAGAGTGATGGCTGGGTGCCGGCAGGCGCCCGCGGTGGGCCCCTCCGCGGTGCTTGTGTCTCGTCTGACATTTCCCGCCTCTTCATTACCGTCGCTTGTCGCGATGGATGAGGAGTCTTGCCCGGAGTTCACTTGTACTCTGCCTCGTGGAGCTGCGCGGAATGTTGCTTAACTCTTGCTTGCCTGGCCGTGCCCCCCGCCCCCATTGCCCTGCCACGCTCCCTCCTGGCCTCGGGCTCCGGCCAGCGGGGTTGCTCTGTGGGACAGGCGGAGGTGGGAGGGGCCGTGGACAGTCCCGGGGCCCCTGCACACTGGAGCTGTCAGCGGCTGAGTGGGGGCTGGAGGGACGGAGGGGCACACGGGGCTCCGGGCAGTGGTCCTATTCACGGAGTGGCCACCCACCTCCTCCACCTCCTGGGCCTTCTCAGATGGCCACAGTCCCCCCACCTGCAGGCCCCAGGCCTCCTGCCAGGAAAGGCCCCTCGGCCCCAGAGAGGGAAGCAGAGGGCCGCTGTCGGGACCCTGGGGTGACCTGGGGGGTGACAGGGCCGCAGGCGTCGCTAGCCCCTTGGCCTGCAGGGCCCCGTGCAAGGTCCAGCTCTGCGGCATTCACGCGCAGCACGGGTCCCTGCGGGCGGATCAGGTATTGACAATTAAATCACAGGATCCCATTGCCGTGCCATCGATCGGAGGTGGGCACGCCTGCAGCGCCGGCCACGGTGCTTATCAGGCTTTCGAACAAGGTTTACAGGGCTCCAGAGGCCCCGCTTATTAAATGCTCAGCGTGACAGCTGGGTGGCCCCCGGGGAGGCTTCCTGGCAGGGCCCTTCCTGGTTATCCTGGAGGGCGGGTGTGGGCGTGGCCTCCACTGGGCGGGCCTGGGGAGGGCGTGGGCGTGGTCTTACTTAGGTGGGGGGTGGGGTGGAGGCGTCACAGCCTTCCAGAGCATCTCAGCCACCCAGGTACTTAAGTCCCCGACCCAGGGGCTGTCACCCCCCACACACACACACACAGCCCCGGGCCAAGGTGAATCAGTTGCCTGCCTGGAGGAGGCTCCCTTGTGCAGGGTGTGCCCTGGCCCCGCCCCTTTGGGGGTCCTTCCTGGGAGGGCCGGAGTCCCACATTCCGTGTCTGCCCCCAGAAATGCGTGTACTGCCGGAAGCGGATGAAGAGGGTGTCGGGCGCCTGCATCCAGTGCTCCTGCGAGCACTGCTCCACGTCCTTCCACGTGACCTGCGCCCACGCCGCCGGGGTCCTCATGGAGCCCGACGACTGGCCCTACGTGGTGTCCATCACCTGCCGCAAGCACAAGGCGGGGACCCACAGCGTGAGTGCCCGTGCCCGTGCCCGCCCGCGTGGCCCACGTGCTCCCCTCGCCCCGCCGCCACCGCCTATGTGACCCCCTGCCCTCCGCCCCCCCCCCCAGGCCCAGTTCCTGCGGGCGGTGTCCCTGGGCCAGGTGGTCATCACCAAGAACCGCAACGGCCTGTACTACCGCTGCCGCATCATCGGCAGCACCACCCAGACCTTCTACGAGGTCAACTTCGAGGACGGCTCCTACAGTGACAACCTGTACCCCGAGAGCATCACCGTGAGTGACACAGAGCATCTCGGGGTCCAGGCCCCGCGCTCCCCAGCCTCGGGGCACAGCGCTGACCTGCGGAGGCCCCTCCCCGGGCCCCCCGTACCGCCCTGTGCCACCGGGAAAGGCGGCCCCTGGTTCCCTGTTCACACGGGGGGAGGCTCTGCCCTCCCCGTCGGGGTGCTGGCGCCGGGCTCACGGCTGCGCCTCACGCTCACGCCCCCTGCGTCCGCAGAGCAGAGACTGCGCGCGCCTGGGGCCCCCGGCTGAGGGGGAGCTGGTGGAGCTGCGCTGGGCGGACGGGAACGTGTACAGAGCCAAGTTCATCTCCTCGACCACCAGCATCCTGTACCAGGTGAGCAGCAGGCCGAGCCGGAGACCACACCCGGACCCCCGCCATGGCCCCCGCGCCCTCCTGAGAGCCCCGGGGATGGGACCCTGCCGGCCAGCCAAGGAGGGGCGCTCGTCCCCCGGCGTTGCAGGATGGAGGCCGGGCCTGCTCCCCGAGAGGGGCGGGTGGGGTGTGTAGCTGTCCCCACCCCCTGCTTGGATGCAGGCAGACATGCACGCTCGGGACGGCCCCACGGTGGGAGGCATGCGTGCAGGAAGGCACGGCACAGACCCACGGCAGACCCACGGGCATCCTGGGCACGCACACTCCCCCGCCACCTCCTGGGTGAAACTGTGGCCCCCAGGACGGGTAGGAGGAGCCTGGCCGCCCAGTGTCCCGCCCTCCCGCCCCAGGGTGACGAGAAGAAGGGCCTCCTGGGTCACCCTGACCGCGGCTCCCGTGGCCCTCCCCGGCTGGGCACGCGACTATCAGACCCCAAGGCCCCCTCTGGGACCGGGGTCTCCGGACCCCTCTTCCCGGCTCCCTTGTGCTGCCTGGGCCCACGGAGCCTGCAGCAGGCAGGGACCCGGGAGACCCCAGCCCTAAAAGCTGTGCCTTCCCAGGTGGAGTTTGAGGACGGGTCCCAGCTGACGGTCAAGCGGGGAGACATCTTCACCCTGGACGAGGAGCTCCCCAAGAGGGTCCGGTCGCGGCTGGTAGGTGTCCGGGAGCACAGGCTCGGCTCCCCCGCCCCCCACCCCCGAACAGGCACGCAGGGCTTCCTGGGCCGCCCGGCCTCGCGCCCACCTGCCGCCCCTGACCCGCGTCTGTTCCCCCGCAGTCTGTCAGCACGGGGGCCCCCCAGGAAAGCGTCTTCTCGGGAGAGGAGGTGAAGGCCGCCAAGCGCCCACGAGTGGGCACCCCGCACGGCGCCGAGGACTCGGGGCACAGCCCGGACTGCCTGGCCTTCATGGAGAGCCTGCGGCAGGTGCAGGCGCGGCCCGGGGGCCCCTTCTAGGCTGCAGGCGGCGGCCCTGGCATCTGCGTGCTGTGAACCCCCGTCTCGCTCGGCCCCAGGGGCCACCTTCGTGGCCACGGAGCCTGTTGGACGCTGCCCGGGGCCCCCGGACTCAGGGAGTGGGGCCACAGGGGCTCCGGGGGGCCGGCGGGGGCGCCCAGGCCCCCCACTCCTCCCATTCGTAAACCACGTGAGCTCTTCTCGAAAACGGTGCTATCAGAGCCCAGGACGGTGACGTGTACATAGACCGCCTTTGTGAGCTGCTTTCTACGGACACTCTTGTTTAAAAAAAAAGCGCGGGTGGGGGGGAACGGAAGGAAAAAATCCCCTAAAGTCATTTTCTAGATTTGTGGCTTCGCCAACCAAACCAAACCTCCTTTCCTCGGAAGCGAGAGGCTCCACCGACGGAGAGCGGCAGCGGGCGGGGTGGGTTTCTGGGTCTCGGGGGTCTTTGGGACACTTTGTCTGGGAGCCAGCGGGCCGGGGGCACCTGTGGCCGGGCGTTGCCCCGCCTGGCGTCTCTCCCCGGGGCTCCCCGCCCTTCTGCCCCTGGGCCCTGTTGACTGCGGGAAGTTCGGGGGTCACCTGCGGTCCGGGAAGCTGGCAGCTGTGGCTGGGGGGGGGGGCCTGAACCGATTGGGGCGGCCTGGTGGGTCCTCTCGAAGCCGCCAGGCGCCCTCCGAGGGGACCCTCCGCTGCGGTCCTGGGGTGGGTCTTCGGGCAAGGCGGGGGGGCAGTGGAGGACCAGAGCGGGGCCACCGGCTCCAGGCAACGGTTGGTTGGTGGAGTCCGAAGAGGAGCCGGGCGCGGGGGTCCGGCCAGAGCGGCTTCCTTGGCGGGCGGGGGGCGGGGGTGGCCCTCTGCATGCCCAGCCGGCCTCCTGCTCGGACAGCGGGAGACGCTATTTATGTCGCGAAGAGACGGAACGGGGCGGGGCGGCCCTGGGGGGCGGCGGGGGTCTCGGCCCACACCCCACCGCTGGCTGGCTGGGTGGGGGGCCCCGTGGGCAGGAGGGAGGGGAGGGCCCGCCGGCCGAGATGAAGGACGCGCTGTACTTTCGCCTAATTTCCCGCCTCCGACCCTGATGAATTAAAGGCCCCTGGACACTGCGGACCGGCCCGAGCGTCTTCATTTCGGAGCGCGGCGCGGGGGTCCCGGGCCCCAAGGGTCATGGCTGGGGGCGGGGCTGCGGGAACGCCGGGCGCCGGTGGGGCGTGACCCCAGACCCGCTCTCCGCAACGCCGACTGCCCGGCTCGAGGCTCCACCGGGAAACGCGCTTGGCCTTGCGCGCGGCCCCCCCGAGCACGGGAGCAGGAGTCGGCCCTGCGCGGGACGTGCCGGGTGCGGCCCAGGAGGCCCAGGAAGGCCGAGGCGGGAGCGTGACCCGCAGCCCCCTGCCCGCCCCCCACCCCCCCGCGAGAGGCCCGGGGTTCCGCTGAGCGTCCCCGAGGTGCGCGCGCCCGGCTGCGTGCGGGGCGAGGGGACCGGCCGGGGGGGGGGGGCCGCATGCGCTCGGACCCCGACTCCCGCCGTCCCCCGCCCCGGGCCGAGCGGCCCGACCGGTCCTGGCTGCGGCGCCCGCGCCCCCGGGAGTCGCTGTCCCCGGCCGTGACCCCGGGCGGGCGCCTGTCCGCCCGCTCGCCCTCGGCCCTGCCCGGACGGGCCACGTGGCCGCCACGCCCCCCGCCCCCCGCCCCGGCGCCCCCCGCAGCGGCTCCTGCCCCCCCCCCCCGTGGCCGTCCGGTCCAGCTCAGCCGCGGGAGAGGCGCCCGCGGTCAGCGCCCCGGCGACGCCACCACCGCGCCGAGGCCGTCCCGGGCGCGTCCCTCGACGACGACCCCCGAGAGGAAGCGCCCGCCCGGCCCCGCGCCCGTCACGTGGTGGCGCCCGTGCACGTGACAGGGACCAGTCGGGCCTCCCGGCACGTGTCCGCGCACGTGCGGGCGGGGCGGGGTCACGCAGCGCGGGGGGGGGGGGGGGGGTCGCAGCCCCCCTCGGGGGTCCGGGCGCCTCGGGAGCCGCCCCGGCACCGTCCGGTTCCGGTTCCGGTTCGGCCCGCTCGGGTCGGACCCGACCTGCCGGGCCTGGCCTGACGCGAGAAGCGCCCCGAGGGTCGAGCCCGCCCCACGCGCGGGGTTTCGGGCGCCCGCGCGGAAAGCGCCGCCCTGAGCCGGAACCACAGCGCGGGTCCATCGAAATCCCGCCCACGGCCCAAATCCCGTCCACGGCCCAAATCCCGTTCACGGCCCAAATCCCGTCCACGGCCCAAATCCCGCCCACGGCCCCAAATCCCGTCCACGGCCCAAATCCCGCCCACGGCCCCAAATCCCGTCCACGGCCCAAATCCCGCCCACGGCCCCAAATCCCGTCCACGGCCCAAATCCCGTCCACGGCCCAAATCCCGTCTCCTGTTCACGGCCCAAATCCCGTCCACGGCCCAAATCCCGTCCACGGCCCAAATCCCGCCCACGGCCCAAATCCCGTCCACGGCCCAAATCCCGTCTCCTGTTCACGGCCCAAATCCCGTCCACGGCCCAAATCCCGTCCACGGCCCAAATCCCGTCCACGGCCCAAATCCCGCCCACGGCCCAAATCCCGCCCACGGCCCAAATCCCGTCCACGGCCCCAAATCCCGTCCACGGTCCAAATCCCGCCCACGGCCCCAAATCCCGTCCACGGCCCAAATCCCGTCTCCTGTTCACGGCCCAAATCCCGTCCACGGCCCAAATCCCGCCCACGGCCCAAATCCCGCCCACGGCCCAAATCCCGTCCACGGCCCCAAATCCCGTCCACGGTCCAAATCCCGCCCACGGCCCCAAATCCCGTCCACGGTCCAAATCCCGTCCACGGCCCAAATCCCGCCCACGGCCCAAATCCCGCCCACGGCCCCAAATCCCGTCCACGGTCCAAATCCCGCCCACGGCCCCAAATCCCGTCCACGGTCCAAATCCCGCCCACGGCCCCAAATCCCGTCCACGGCCCAAATCCCGCCCACGGCCCCAAATCCCGTCCACGGCCCAAATCCCGCCCACGGCCCCAAATCCCGTCCACGGTCCAAATCCCGCCCACGGCCCCAAATCCCGTCCACGGTCCAAATCCCGCCCACGGCCCCAAATCCCGTCCACGGTCCAAATCCCGCCCACGGCCCCAAATCCCGTCCACGGCCCAAATCCCGCCCACGGCCCCAAATCCCGTCCACGGTCCAAATCCCGCCCACGGCCCCAAATCCCGTCCACGGTCCAAATCCCGTCCACGGCCCAAATCCCGCCCACGGCCCAAATCCCGTCCACGGCCCAAATCCCGTCCACGGCCCCAAATCCCGTCCACGGCCCAAATTCCGCCCACGGCCCAAATCCCGCCCACGGCCCCAAATCCCGCCCACGGCCCAAATCCCGTCCACGGCCCAAATCCCGTTCACGGCGTGAAATCTCGTCCACAGCCCAAATCCCGTCCACGGCCCAAATCCCGTTCACGGCGTGAAATCTCGTCCACAGCCCAAATCCCGCCCACGGCCCAAATCCCGTCCACGGCCCAAATTCCGCCCACGGCCCAAATCCCGCCCACGGCCCAAATCCCGCCCACGGCCCCAAATCCCGCCCACGGCCCCAAATCCCGCCCACGGCCCAAATCCCGTCCACGGCCCAAATCCCGTTCACGGCGTGAAATCTCGTCCACAGCCCAAATCCCGTCCACGGCCCGAAATCCCGTCTCCCGTCCACGCCCGAGCTCTCGAGGCGCCCGAGTCCCGCAGCTCTTGGTTCCACGGTCCCGCCCCCAGGCCCAAGTCCCGCGAGGCCGCGGGGGGCTGAGCGAATCGCGCAGGCCGGGCCCCTCCACCTCGCGCGTGGGTGCTGCCTCCGCCCCCGTTACATCGAGGCCACCGCACCGGCCTCCCAGCTCTGTCGGGCTCAACCCTGAGCACGGGACCGAGACTCCCGACCCCCCACAAGCGCAGAGCTGGGGTCTTTCCAGCTTGGCGGACGCCGCCCCCAAGCGTGGCCACGGCTCCCCGGGGCCGCCCCTGGCCCAGTGCAGGCCGCAGTGACCTCGCCCGGGCCCTTGGAGGCGCGGATGCAGGCAGAGGAGCTGGACCAAGAGCCCCGCCCCGGCTGGACAGAGGGTGCAGTGGGGAAGGCGCTGACCCCGAGAGCGGCCAGGACACGTGCTGTCCCCCGCTCCTGCTCCCCTGAGTGCCCCTGAGCACCGCCTGCGGGTGGTCCCCAGACAAGCAGACGAAAAGTGCCTCTTCGTGGGGCTGGAGCACAGCGGGGAGGGCGTTTGCCTTGCACGCGGCCAACCCGGGTTCGAATCCCAGCATCCCATAGGGTCCCCCGAGCACCACCAGGAGTCATTCCTGAGTCAGGAGGAACCCCTGAGCATTGCCAGGTGTGACCCCCCACCCAACAAAAAGTGCCTCTTCGTGCCGGAGTCAGTGTTCGAGGACTGACGGGACTGGACTGCATGTCTGCAAGGCCCAGGGTCTGAGTTTCTGCCTCTGCAGAAACCACGTGTCTGGCCACAGCACCGCCAGGAAAATGTGCTCCTGATGAGAACAAGGCGAGTGTTGTCTCGGCCTCTAACTGCTTCTGTCCCTAAGGACTCTAATCGTGACAGCTGGAGCCACAGCAACCTTTTCATAGTCATGAGAGACTCGAAGAGTCTGAGACATCACCAAGCAGGTATGAGAAATATTAAAAAAAAAAAATAAGGCACTAACCTGCAAGAGTATGGGTGATAGCAAAATGTAGTAAGATAATTAGCCAAGGGTGAATTTAAAATCTCATTTGGGGGGGGGGCTGGAGCGATAGCTCAGTGGGTAGGGTGTTTGCCTTGCATGCAGCCAGACCCGGGTTCGATTTCCAGCATCCTACATGGTCCCCCGAGCATGGCCAGGAGTAATTCCTGAGTGCATGAGCCAGGAGTAACCCCTGTGCATCGCCAGGTGTGACCCAAAACAGCAAAAAAAAAAAAAATCTCATTTGGAGGGGCTGGAGTGATAGCTCAGTGGGTAGGG